AACCCCCTCTCTCTCTCTCTCTCTCTCTCTCTCTCTCTCTCTCTCTCTCTCTCTCTATCTATCTATCTATCTATCTACATACTTCAGTTAGCTCTTGTGTTAGGGTGATTTTAATGACTTCTAGGTTGTATGATGGTTAAGACAAGTATATTTTTATCAGCAATAGAGACAGAAGTGATGTGATCCAAATGCAGGAGTAAGCAATATGTTTATAGAGCACTAAAGAAATCATAGATTCTAACTTTCATGGGTTAAGGCGCACCTCATCAGGCTTGCAACAGTATCTTGTTGTTAGTGTAAAGAAATTAGAGTCCCCAAAGTTCATGGCAGATGGATTTTGCCAGGCATGTTTCCTGATATAAGATAGGAAAGAGGCAGGCTGCATTGGAAAAATGGCTTTAAAGTTATAGCTGAGCAAGCTGTTCATTGGATATTATACCCCAGTTCTTCAAACAAAGAAGGTTAAGCATTATGCATATACCTTTTAAAAACTCAGTTGGACTATTTTTATACTAACTTGGGATGTGGTGGTGCTGCGGATTAAACTGCAGAAGACTTTGTGGTACAAGGTTGGAAGACCGGCAGTTGTAAGATCAAACCCACACGATGGAGTGAGCACCCGCTGCTTGTTCCAGCTCCTGCCAACCTAGCAGTTCGAACGCATACAAATGCGAGTAGATAAGTAGGTACCACCTTGGTGGGAAGGTAACAGCATTTCGTGTCTAGTCGTGCTGTCCACATGACCATGGAAACTTTCGGACAAAACGCTGGCTCTACGGCTTCGAAACGGGGATGAGCAAAGTCAGCACCCGTCGCTTGTTCCAGCTCCTGCCAACCTAGTGGTTTGAAAGCATGCAAATGCGAGTAGATAAGTAGGTACCACCTCGGTGGGAAGGTAACAGCGTTTCGTGTCTAGTCGTGCTGTCCACATGACCATGGAAACTTTCGGACAAAACGCTGGCTCTACGGCTTTGAAACGGGGATGAGCAAAGTCAGACTAAATGTCAAGGGGAACCTTTACCTTTACCTTATTTTTATACCACATCTCAACAAACTTGGCTTCAGAGCAGTTTCTTAGGTGTTAAACAAAAGGAACTGACTACTGTATGTATATATTTGATTGAGAGCAATCCACTTTGTACTCAGTGGCATTTTCTTCTGAGCAGAACTGTGTTGTTAACTTCCAGTGAAGCCCCTCCCAAATTGTTGGAAAAAAAATCCAAGGGAGAATAATTTAGAGCTTAGAAATCAATTGTAACATTTCGTGTGCTATCAGGTATGTATTAGGTCAAATTGCTTTAACATTTTCAAGTTGGATGTCTTTCAGCTAATCCTAAATAATTCAGCAGGCTTTAGGTGTTGTAACTTGCTTTCAGTTGATCGCAGTTCAAAACTCTTCTGCCTCAAGGAGTTTAGCTTTTAAAATGTATAACATTTTGACTGGAGCTCAACTGAAATTTTGGGGTTATCGTGAGAAAATGATATACCACAGTGGCTTACTGCTGGTCTGGGTGCTCTTGCCAGCAGATCAGGGACCAGAAGTGGCTGATCTGTATTATGAGTGTCAGGGATGACACTGGCAGTAAATGCTTGTGGTATTCTTCGGTAGGGATAGGGATGCCACGGTCCTAGTTCTGACTGCTGGATAGCTCAGTGGTTCAGGTATTTGGCTGCAGCGCCAGAGATTGGGAGCTGGATTTCCTGCTGGGCCTCACCAACAGAGGCTGGAGTTGGTGATCTGTAGTAGCGGTCCCCAACCTTTTTGGGAGTGTGGACCGGCTGAGCCTCTGAGGAAGGCGCGAGGGCCCCCCACAGGTGTGTGCGGGTGCGCATGCACTCTCAGGTGCATGTGCAAAGAGTTGGGGGAGCACCTACCCACCAGCAGCAGCATGAGTGCTCCCTCACCCCTTCGCGCATGTGCATGGGTGCCTGCACGCCTACACGCCCGCCCACCCCTTCACGCAGGTGCTTGGGCACTTGGGTGCATGTGCAAAGTGATGGGGGAGTGCTCACGCCAGCGCTGGCACATGTACATGTGCGCAAAGCAGCTGTGGGGAGGGGAGTGTGTGGGGGGCAGGAGGTCTGTCCTCGTGGCCTGGTTCAGTTCAGCCCACGGACCAGCACCGGGCTGCGGGCCGGGAGTTGATAACCTCTGATCTATAGGGTTCCTTCCAGCTCTGCAGTTCTAAGATTATGGTTTTGATGATATTATTGTATTATGATCCATTAAAATCTTTACTTCTATCTGCCTTGCCAACACTGCAAGGCAGTGGTAGATAGGTATCTAAATTACACAAAAGCACAAGGGACTGTACATGTACTGTAGAGTGCAGGAGTACAACACGATATTACACAGCAGTTCCAACATTTTAGTGTTGTCATTCTGCTCATTGAACTATTGCCCTAACATGACTTGCCCTTACGCTAATCAAACCAAAGTAAACATACAAAAATAGGTGCAACACATGGATTTCAACTAAATTTGCCCTCCTCTAAAGCTTTTAAAGCTTCTGTGAGATTTTAATCTAAAATAGGCCATAGGAACAAATTTGCTAAGATCAAAAGAAGCCACATGAAATTTGTTTCTTATGAAGATATTTAGCTATTTCAGTAAAAGTGAAGGTGGCGGTAGCAATGGTGTCTTTGCATATTGTCTGTGTGATGCATATATCAAGGAGCATCTGTGTGATTACTAATGCCCTGAACTGTCACTAAACAATTCAAAGTATCATATTCTTCTGCGTAATCCATGTAAGAATAGCAGTGATGTTTATGCTGTGCTGTGACAAAGAGCTCTTTAGAAGGAAGCTTCAATATGTTGACATTCCAGAAGATGCTGCTATTTGCATGAATTTTCCTTGTTTGTCTGAATGCATATTTATATGGCATTAAGGAGGAAAATGTTAAGGATTTAATACCACAGAAATGGATGGAACACAGGTGTGGATTTATAATGAAAATCACAAACCCACCCATTTTCACAGCTAATGTTTTGTCATATTTTCAGAATCAAGCTTAGGTTATGACATCAACAATGTTGGAATTGTGCTGTTCTGTAGTAGTTGCCTCATGGCTGAGGGCTATGGAACCACAAAGTTTCCAACCATGAAAACATTTCTGTCCCTATCTTCAAAAAGGGCAAAAGGAAGAACCTGAGAACTGCAGACTAATCAGCCTGACATTAATCCCTGGAAAAGTCTTGAGCAGATTATAAAGCAGTCACTATGCAAAAACTTCAAAACTAATCAAGAATAAATCCTGCTAGACTAATCTTGTTGTTTGATCAGATAACCTCCCTAGTAGACAGTGGGAATTCTGTAGACATAATACATCTTGAATTCATCAAAGCTTTTGACAAAGAGCCCCATGATATTTTGATTAGCAGTCTAACTAGGTGTGGGCTGAATAGAACAGCTATCAAATG